AATGGCATCCAAAGAAATATAAAGGAAAAGCTGCTGTGGGAAAAATAAAGGAAGTCTCTTAGTTGTGGGACACAACAGTTTCATCTAAAGCCAGTGAAGGAAGAGCATTCTGCACTACAGTGATCAAAAGCCCATGTCTGATTCCCAGGACAAATATCTTTCAAATCCCATGTGCAGAATTTCAGATATTACTGAAGTTCCTGAGCATTTCCATTGGCAAGTCCCAATTCTGGTGCAAATCCCATCTCTATAACTGACTTTCTACTGGTCTCCACTCCACGCTTTTCCTATGCCAGACTCTGGTCTCCTCCGAATTTCTTTTTAATAGTTACTGTCATGCAGGAAACTTAAATCCACCATCCATTATAACATTTCCAAAAATGACTGCTTCTACTCAAGCTAAAGTCTGTTTCAAGAAAGAAAGGAAGGAAACACTCACCCTGAATCCTATAAGTTTTGAGGTTGTATAACCATTCAGTTAAGTCAGTGGCAAAACTCCCACTGCCTTCAACAGAATCTGGAGCTTGCGCCCAGTTTTACCTGTTGGCAAAGTCAGACACAGCAACCTATAAACCAGTGGGGAAGAAGTGCAGCCAAAAGTCATAGAGGTTCAGAGCACAAGCAGCAATAAGAAAAAAATGGAAGGAAATGAATATTTTCAATACTGTGAACTGGGTAGAATAGGGAAGTCCAAATTAAGTTAACTAAGCCTTGAAAAGGCTGTAAAAGGTCCTCACAGGAAACCAGTACCGTGTAAGATTTGCTAGGACATATCTTATTTCTTGCAATCAGTTTCTTGATGTAAATATAAACCCAGTAGGCCTAGGCAGCCTGTCATTCCTAATTTGCAAGGATAATAATAACTGGGTTTTTTTTAGTGAAGCATGAATTCCATGAGAGCTCTCTCTCATCTCAGCACATCTGCCCCTGCTCTCCTGCCAATCCGCCCCGCCCCCCCCCCCCCCTCTGCAATGATACAGTACATCATTGTCAAGGAAAAGGAACAGAGAAGAACACAGTGAGTTCCTTTTCACAGTTCCAGTAGCAGCAAGCTGAAGCATGGACAGGAGCAGCTGTGATGTTCAACCAGCAGGACAGCAGCCATGGCTCCTGCAGTGAGGATCTTGCTTGGACCCAACACCAGCAGTGTGTGGAGAACATTAAACAGGTGCAGAACCACCAGGGCTCTTTCTTGCTTAAAATGTGATTTTATTGCCTCCTTTTGTCTGTTGCTCTGGGCAACTGCCTGCTCCACCTGCTCCTACAAGTGGGCCAGCCTGCCAAGGAGCTGCAGACATCGCTTGGCTGTAGGTAGGAAGTAGCTGCATGCAGAAGTCCTTAGCTTCTGCAAGTAGGAAAGATGCTGGCCAGCTTGCTGACTCAGTCTGAACCTTCAGCCTGCAAATAAGTGATGTTCTTGGGAGAGGACAGCAGGGACATGTTGCCTCTGGCAAAAGCAGGCTGTGATACCTAAGGAGAACCAATGAGAGTTTTAGCTTCTTAGGACATAACTCAGTGGACCTAAGATAACACGGACACTTGGAAGATAGCATAAACCCTCAGATATTGTGACCCTATTACACACACAGTATGGGGCCTCCCAAAGTGTTTGCTGCTTCACTTCAGAACTGCTGAGCTCCACTAATTCCCATGGAACTATATCACTGTTGAGCACTGTTCAACACCTCACAGTCTGTACTGAGGCACATATGCACAAAAACATAAATTTAGATTGCAGACAGAACAACCTTGCAGAACCACACTGTGGAGACACACAGCACTGCCTATAGTCTATCACCCTGGTTGCCTCCCACCTATGTTGACTACTGGGGCTGACCATGGGGTTCATTTCCATCTGAAACTAATCTCAGAACAGCACACTGCCTCAGAAAGCCCATTCTAAACAGCAAGCCTTTATTCATTTGGGGGTTGAATATTAGGAAAAACTTCTCTGAAAGAGAGAGGCATTGGAACAGGCTGTCCAGTGAGATAGTGGAGTCACCGTCCATGGAGGTGTTCAAAAAACACATAGATGTGGCACTGATGGACATGGGTTGGTGGGGATGGGCTGATGGTTGGATTTGGTGATCTTAGAGGTCATTTCCAAGCTTAGTGATTCTATAACAGATGTGGGGTCAAGCCTAACAACTCTGCACATTTGTATAGATCTTCATAAGCTGGGACCAAGCTGTATTTGCACCCCCAGTGTCACACTGATGGCAATGGGACATCTCAAGAAGAAAGGTTTGGTGGGAATTACTGGAGGATCAGGCCATCAACAAACCATAGCTTGATTATTCTCAGGCGCTTCACCAAGGGGGGCATTCTGTACGTAGTATTTGAACTTGGAGTAAATGAGGCCAGTATGGTAAGCAAGAAATTATGATGTAACATAGTAGAGATTTTCTGGCTACTTTGTGACCTACATTGTTTCAGGACCAAGCCTCTACTCAGAGATGTTTATACAAGGGCACCTTCAGGATTACACATCTGTTCTACCGCATTCAGCACAGCGCTTCACCCTCCGTTAGTCCTATTGACGACAGAGGCACCTGTCCTGTAAGGTCACTGCAGGGGCTTGGGGATCACACCTCCAGGCAGTGCTTTGCAATCCTGATGGGTACCCATGCTCGGGCAACATAGAAGCATAAAATCATAGAATCCTTAGAGTTGGAAGGGGCCTTTGAAGGCCGTTAGTTCAACTCCCCTGCAACGAACAGAGAAACCACAGGTAAATCAGGGTTGCCGAGGGTCTGATCCAGCCTTGCCTTCAAAGTCTCCAGAGATGGGATATCAACCACATTTCTGGGTAACCTGTCCCAGCGCCTCACACCCTCACTTCAAAAGATTTTTTTTCCTTATATCTAACCTAAATCTACCCTCTTTGAGCTTGAAACATCCCACAGTCACTCTGGGACTCCAACACAAACACTGATGCCAAAATCTGGCTTGTACAGAGGAATATTTTGCTGAGAGACAAAATTTACAAAATCTGTTATTCAATATGAAATTTAGTAAAGTATTTTTGATGATTTTTGCTCCTATAGCAAACACAGTAGCACCCTCTTTGTGATTTGTATGTGATTGTATATGACATTTTTTTATGTTCTTTCTATTGAATTAAAGAAATTAAATGTTAATATTTAAGTAAAGCCACCAACTAACCTCCCTGCTGAGTTATCCCCGTGCTGATGCACTGAACACTTTTCCACATCCCAGAGAAAGTGATACATCCATTTCTCAGCAGCCATTCAGTGTCCTCTCTGCCTCAGCCCTCTGGCATCCATCCCCAGCACTGCACACATCCAGGTGCCAGGCTCAGGGTGCTGACCCCAGTGCAGGCAGCCCGCAGCCGCTGAGACTCTTGCTTTGGGGCACCATTGGCCTCAGCCTCCACAGTACAGCGTCGGCTGCTGCAGCTGAGTCATGCATGAAGGCACTGCCAGCTGCAGCCCAGAGTGGCAACACAGATCAGCGCAGGTGCTGAGCTGCATGGTGAGGCTGTGGGCTGCAGGGCTCTGTGCAGCACGGAGGTCCTGCTGCTGGAGCTGCGCACCACAGTGGCGAATAGCAGCAGGAAGTGATGGTCCCAATCTCACTTCATCCCAGAGCATTCAGCCCATGCTGCTGGCAGTGCTGCCAAAGACAGGACTCCAAAAGAATCCATAAGATGAAAACCCAAGTTTTCAACTTGTCAGAGAAATCCCCTCCAGTGGCACAGGACGTATCTAAGCACATCAGCACAACACTGCAAGGTGACTGTAACACCAACAGTTGTGCAGGCAATGGCACGCAGAGTCTCATCTTCCAGGGACTTGCATCTCATGACTGTCCATTCTGTTAACCTGGCCTGACTCATATGGAGCATCAGGCAACCCACAGAGAAGAGAAACATGCACCAGGGAAGGCTCCTTATCAAGCGCTACTAAATCTCTCAGGAATGCCACTTTGATAGAAAGGGGAATTTTCCAGCGCTGGGCACAGAGATGGTTCCTGTGATACTCTGCCCAATCTCAGTGCTGCTGGCTGCAATACACAGACACTTCCCTCCTTTGCACAGAGGCCCCCTCCCTGCCAAGCTGAGCTCACAGAGCTTACAGGAACGTAGTCTGCTACATTTAGTTAAAAGCGCCCCAAAATTTATAGAGTGCTGAACTACTGAAAAAACGGCAAGCAAACAGCAGCCAAAAATTTCCCCTCTTACTCGCGTGCAAACGCGCACAGAACCCACAAGCGAACTCCCTTGCGTGCCTTTAAGCAGTCAGGGCCAAGGGGAGCCAGCCCGGCCGCGGGGATGTCCGTGCGGCAATGAAGGACGGGGAGGGAAAGCTCCACTCCCAACCCAGCGCTCGGTCGGGCGCACCGTACGCAGCTCAACATGCATTACGCCCAGCCCCTCCCCTCGCCGCCCGTCCCTCCCGGGGCGGTTTCAGAGCCCCGCCGCCGCCCCCGCCCAGCCCAGCCCTGGGTGGCTCCGGGGGAGCTGCCGCAGCCCGCGGGACGCCTGGACCGAAGCTGCGCGGGGACCGCCCGCCGCCGCTCCGCGCCGCCCTCTTTCCTGCCTCGGGCCGGGGCTCCGCATTGATGCCGCCAAATAAATAACTGATTAAAGCACGGGAAAGAAAGAAACAAGCCGCGCGAGCGTCTCTCTTTTGTACCTGAGCAGCCGGGGCTTCCGTGCGAGCGACTACAGAAGACACAAACAGCGCTCTGAACTCTTCCGTGCCGGAAGGATGCGCCGGCTCTTCTATAAGAACCCGACGCCGGGATCGTGAAGCGCTCGGCGGAGGAGAGGCGCCGGCAGTCCGCCCGCAGACGTCCCCGCTTTGGGCACCGAGAAGACTCCGAGGGGCCGGGTCCCATCGCCGCCGCAAACTTTCTTCCCCCGCCTCCGGCCCCGGCGGCGCTCGAAGGAGCCGCATGGGCGCTGCCGGAGAGCCGCAGCTCCGCGACGCGGCCCGGGGGCTGCCCTGAGCCGGGGCCCGGCGGGCGGCGGCGCCATGTGGGCGGCCGGGGCGGGCGGCAGGGCGGCGTGCCCGCGGGACGCGGCGCTGCGCAGGGCGGCCTTCGCCGGCAACCTGGCGGCACTGCCCGCCCACCTGGTGCCCGGCGGCCGGAGCGTCCGCGTCTTCATCAGCGCCAACCCCGAAGGTAACGGCCGGGCCCCGCCGCGGCTCCCCCTGCCGCCCGGGGCCGGCTTCGGGCGGGGGGCGGCGGGTGGTGGCCTCCAGCTGCCGGGTAGGGCGGGACGGTGCTCGGGGCTCCGGCGGATCGCGCGGTCCCGAAGTCCGCGGCTTAAAGCGAGCGCCGCGGTGGTGTTCGCCCTGCCGGGCCGCGCTCGTGAGCTCAACTGTGCGGTTTTAGTGTAATGCCGTCGCACTCGCACGCTCCGTATCAGAATGAGTTAGCCGACCTGCCGCTTCAAAGCCCTTGTTAAAATTACCCTTTCGTGCGAGTGATTTGCGTGTGTTGGGAGTGCCGTTCCCACTTGCAAGACAGAAGTTTTGAAGCGTATTCTCACACGATGCAAGGAAGTAATAACTGAAATGTTCACACCTTCGACGTTTCCCACCTGTGCAAACGAGCCCACGGCGCACACGGCTCTGTCACCCCACCGCCTCCCAAACCCAACAGCGCTGTCTCTAGGCAGGCATCCCAGAGCCGCAAGCCGTGCCGGCAAAGGCAGAACCGTTCGGGTTCCGAAGTGCGATTGCCATGGCACCAACAGCTGGCTGATGCAGGCGGCGGTGCCCACAAGCCGTTACCGGGGAAAATGCTGCCGGGATTACCCCGTGCCCTGCTCCCGCAACCCCATTCTTTACAAATGGCACCGGGATGCTTGTTGGTGCAAGCTAAGCAAAGATACAGTTAGTGATAACCAGAAAGATGCTTAGTTGGCTATGAAAGAAAACTAGCATGAATCTGTAGATTTGTTACTCATCGGGAATGGCTTTCTGCCAGCATTGCCTCCACTGTGGGAGCACCGATGCCTCCGTGTTTGACGTGAGTGGCATTTACCAGTAGGGCAGCTTGTGCTGGCTATGTGGTTGTTCAGCTAAAAAAAAAAAAGCCACTAAACTCATGCTGAAAGTGAGAGATGTAAGCCATACATCTGCAGGATTTTACTCTTGCATTGTTATTCCAAAATTTCAACCTTCACAAAACTGTAAGAGGAAGGATACAACTCGGTTGCCTTAAAACTGTGCTGGCTTCCTTGTAGGATGGCGTGGCGACAGTGATCATCATTTCTCACTGACAAAACATTATCTGCATCTTTGCTCCTGCTTTCAGAAATGACAAGAATTTCAGTACTTACTGCTTTTGGTGAGCAAGTGAGCATTCAGAGGATCCCAGTCACCAGGAGCAGCTGTGGCTCTCAATGGTAGCACTGACACTGCATAGCTCACTGTATGTCACCTTACGAAAAGGCTACTGATAAACAAGAAAATGTATTTAATGGAGTTAGATATCATCTATTAAAGTCCTTAGAAATAAAAGTGCTATTTAAAAAAAAAAAAAAAAAAAAAAAGTCAAAATGCAAATGTTCTCGGGAAAATAAAAAAGGTGAAACCCTTCCTACTGAGCAAAGCATTCAGTGTGTTTCAGCCTCGGCTGCAGTGCTATCTGCATACCCAGGGCCTGCCTGGCTGTCCTGCAGCCCCACAGACTTCTCCCCTGCTCTGGCCATTGCTCAGCAAGGACCTGGGGATCGTTGCTGCTGCAGCTCTCAGGGAAACTCCTCGTTGCAACCTCACAGGAAGAGACTTAGCATAGTCCTCTTGAATTGCAGCAATTTGCTACATGGAAAGTGGGGAAAATCAGGGCTTGATGTTACGTCTTTTTTTTTTTTTTTAGGGGCATGCTGTATTAGGAATTAAATTTATGTGTATTACATAGATAGGAAGAATGGTTATTTGTAAAATTTCCTGAACAGAAATCCCTAAAAAGAACACTTACACAGCAACAGTGAGCATGAGTAACAGGAACAGAACTGTGTCGTTTTACAGTCACTTGCTTTCCGGATTTAATTTTGTAGATAAGTGAAACTGCTTTTTCCTCTAGCAATGTTTTCATCTATCAATTAACATCATCAGGTTGGTGTTAATTAATCAATGAAGATGAAGGCATCTTGAGAAACATTAAAGCTCCTTTATTATTTGAACATAAATATGTCTTGTTTCTTGTTGCAGATCCAAGCAACCAGGCATATTTTAAATGCATATTTTGGCTAAGAGAGGTTGCAGATTTTTCCTTCAACCATTCATCACTCGTCTCAGGGAATTTTGCTTGCTTCCATGTGATAAGGGAGGCAAGTTACTTTCGCCTGATTCTAAGAACTGCTTCTGCTGTTTCCTGCAGGAATCTGTGGACTGCAATAGCAATCAGCTAACATCAGTTTGTGACTCAGTAGTGCCTGTATAGATCCCTGCCAATAAAACAAAGTTTATGTACAAGCATATGACAGGTACAAAATTCCATACAGCTCACTATACTGAGCAGAGACATCAACACTGCATGGACTTGGATCATTCCAGTGCCTCTTGTCATTACTTTAAGCAGAAAATTATTTGAGTTGCAAAGTTTGCTATTTCGTTCAGCAAATTATGTGGTGATACAATGTGATAAAAGTCCTGGCTGAAAATAATTGCTTAACTGGAGTTAGGGATTTGGAAAATGATTGAGAAGGTGCTTTTCATGTCATGCAGCAGGGACAAATGAAGGCACTGAAGAGGGATGTGTGCAAAGCCAGCTCCTACACACAGGCTGTTTGGCTGTTCCACTGAAGACTGACTGATCATACTTCACATAGCATCTGAGTATGTCCTGACAGAGGGTGTGAGCCACTCTGACCTGAAGGAATTAGGCTGAACCAGCATCCAGCACTTCACAGGGCAGGGATTCTTGCTTCTCCAGCCATCATCTCAGCTGATTCTTGTCTGTGCAGCACCTCTGACTACTTCCTAAGTTCCAGCACAGTATTTCTTTTTTTCTGCTATTTCAAAACATTTCTGCTATATCAACAGAAGCAACTGTGCAGAAATCATGAAAAAACTTTGTTTTAAAAGCCCTTTTTAGTACAGAAAGGATGTGCATTTCATAGCTCTATTCTTCCAATGACCATTTAAGGTTTCGAATATTAAAACTAATTATAAAGTTGGAAGGATAATAGTAAATTGCTCCAGCTCTTTTGGACTCTGAAAGTAGCCCAGGATCCAAGAAATCACTCACTTTGAATTTTTACCTACTTACTTACTTGTGTACAGGCTTTGGTAATTCAAATGCCTGCTGATCTTCGTTGCTTTCTCTCAAAAACAGATTCCCCATTAACAAGTAATAATTAACTGTATACTTTTTTGTTTTGGATGGTCATTTGTTATAATCTTTCACAAGGCCACTGAAATCCAACTACTTATTAAAAAGCTAATACTAGTTTTGGCATGATTAATAATCTTAACTATCAAATCTTATGTATACATATAGGAATTTAAAATTAAGATCTTGTTCTAATAAAAGGTAGACTTAGAGGATCCTCCGTAGTGATGTTTCCTCATGTTATACTGTGGAGTGAGTTTGAGTTTTCTTGAGTTATTACACAGTGGTTCAGCTTAGCTTATTTTCCGTTGACATACTTAGTTCAGAACATTGTATTAATATGAAAAACATTCCATTGGAAAAGACATGAATGTTTTGTGCTCACTTTACATACTTTCTTGTGACACACAAGGCAAAATCCTCACCCACAGTTAGTTTGATTAGACAAGGATTATTTCTGTAATTAAGGATTGCAGAAATGAGTCTTAGCAATTTTTATTTATATTATTTTTTGAACTTATAGGCTTCTTTGCAGGAATTACGTGTATTTCTGTGTGTTGATGTACATATGAAAGAAAATCTAAAATATTGTTTGCATTGTATTCACTGCTACTGAACATGAGGTTGCTTAACTCATGACAGGTTAAGAACTGTGATTGCTTTAGTTGCAATCTAATTGCCATATGTGATAAGAAAAAGGTATAACTTTGATTCTTTGCATATTCCAAGTATATGATACTATTTTTACCTCAAATCTTGTTTTGCTTAAGAAAAATATAACTCAGTCAATGTTAATGTTAACACTCAAAAGTCAGAATAATACTTCACTAATGATGGTCCATTTTGTCCAGCCCAAAAATACCATATGGCGTCCCTCCTTGGATTTGTTGCACGAAGGTCTTTTTATAATGACAATTTTATATAATCTGGGTGGAATTTAAGCCTGAGCTAAAGAAAAACACAGATGTTCAAGTGTATAAAATTGCAAGGGAGGTGTTGCGGAGATGTGGAGACAAATAACTCCAGGACTTTTTTCATGCTAAGTGTTAGTTCTGGTTACCTAACTTTGTACCTATTTATGGATTTACGTGACACATATCACTGTGGTGCTTGAGAGCTATAAGCCAAGCTATACTTGAGGAAAAAAGCCTTCAAAAGTTAGAAACAAAGTTGAGTAACTCAGCATGGTTCAAGCACCTGGTCTTGGCGGGGTCCTTGATTTGGTGTTTTACTTCAAGCGGCCCAAAGGTCAGAGATGCCTACAGTCCATCAAGCTTGGAACAAAGCTTGCTATTTTCAGTGTTTCAGCCTCTGCCAACTTTTCTTTCTTCCTGTGCCACAGAACCACCTTTGTTGTAAGCATAGTTGAACAGAAAGTGTGATCTGACTGCCTAAGGATGTAGGACTGTAATTTTTTTTGGTTTTTTTTTTGGTGGTGAAGGTAGGTAGATATGAATCAGAAGTAGACAATTTTTGCTCAGCAGATCCTCAAGCTTTTGTTCATGTTAGAGGAAACAGCCGTTTGGGGCTAGGATGGAGACTGAGTTGGATTCAAGTTTCTGCTGGTTAGTTAAACTTGATAAACTGTATGAAAAGAACTGTTTTTCACATCCCCCTGTTCTTTTTGTGAGTTACTGGCTTATGTAGCTCGAGGAGTGGGCTGAGGATTTGCTCCAAATATACCAAATGTGCAAGACAAAACACTGAGAACTTTTGCTTAATTCACACACAAAAATGTTCATTCACATGCTCACCAGGTAGGATATGCTTTTGGAGAGCAAAACTGAGATCAAAGGAATTGTTCTGCATTTTTTCTTTTGTTGCTTTGTTGATTTTCT